ACGCCAGGTTCATATCGCGTCAATTGGCTCGTCGCGTGCAAATTGGCAATTCGTTTGGAACTCACATCTAATTGCGTCACGATTATCATATTACAGGTTGTCGCATATCGAAGATATTTTGTGCTTTTTATACGAGTAGCATGTGTAGCGAGCTTAGTATACGGGTCTGGAGTAATATCGATTATTTTAAATAAATGATGTTACTAGCTCATAAGCTTAATTCATAATGAAGAAAACAGAAGTCTTTGTAACAAGTTTTTTATTTGATTTGAAATTAATTTACAGTAGTTTGAAGAACTATTTATGAGAAAAGCCAATAACTGGGTACTTGCCTATGATATTATCGGGCCTTAGACGGGCCTGTTGGTCGAGTGGTTAGTGCCCCTGACTGCTAAGCCGGAGGTCGTGGGTTCGATTCCCACCCAGGACAAATATTGTGTGATGAGCATGATCATTTGTTCTGTGTCTGGGTGTAATTTATCTATAATATGTATGTATTTAAAAATATGTAAGTATGTTTATCAGCAGTCTGGTCACCATAGCACAGGCTCTGCCTAGTTTGGGATCAGACGGCCGTGCGTGAAATGTGTGAGGTATATATTATATCTATTAAATTTAGTAGTCAGGTTGGGAAATGTGCCAGTTACTAGTTCGATTTTGATACTACATCTTAGATCCCCGGTGATGATTGCTAAATTATATTATTACTCTAGGTGCCTCTGGATGTTAGGAGTATCTCTACTAACTAGAAAATAAAGAAAACGCTTAAATAGCAAACCGAAATAAACAAAAAAAGGGATTTAATAAACACCAGCAAAATACTATGAACATGCTTAATATTCGGACTTTTTAAAAAAGGATCATTTGAGCTCCAAACTCCAGGGTCTTAGCAACCACCGTAGAGTTTAACTATCCACCTCAGGTTCCAACATCAGATCAGCTCCAAAGGCCATATAGGTACATACACAGTTTTCTTTCGATACAAATATTAGAGCTAGGTTAAATTTAACTTTATTAAATAATTAACTTAACCAAGATTTGTTTCCTTGTTGATGTGATTTTGTTATAGGTAATTTGTTATACATTTCAATTAATTAAAACGTATTCAAAATTATATTTGGGTGAGTAATGACATGCCGTATTTCGCACCTTTTTAGTTTTAATACTTACATATATATCGCCATCTCGTAAGTAAGTGAAAAATAAATTTTAGACATTTCATTAAAGATCCAAAAACATATCCAGTTTTGTCAAAGCAGTACCATCTAGTGTCAGCTATGTCCATAATATCTAGTGATCTTTGTTGATTCTTAGGTGGTAATTTATTTTACTGGCCTGTTTGGTCTAGTCGTCAGCTACTCTGACTGCTACGCCAGAAGTCCTAAGTGCGATTTTGAGAAGCTGTAATGCAATCGAAGAAGAATATATAGAAAGAAAGAAGGATTATTCTTTATTCCATAAAATACAGCATACCAAAATAAAGGCTAAGTAACAACATTTACAAAGAAAATAAAAACCAAGTAAGGTTTGATAAACACATTAACAAGGCAGTACCTTTATCTTTTCATTAAAAACTCAGGGAAAACCTCATCATCATTAACAGCCTATAACAGTCCACTGCTAGACATAGGCCTTCCCTTAGAAAAGAGGTTTTGGTCTACTATACCACGCTGGCCAGACGGGTGGGTATAGGGTTTGTTTTAAAGTTTTCCTTCTTTTTGCACTGATGTTGTGCTGCGTAGGTTACTCCCTTAGTCGGCTCTTACGCCACCCACGGGATGAATAGGGGTGGTGACATTCCGTATTCCTAATCCGTCACCACACGGAACACCTACCTACATTTATTAAAAAGTTTCTAAGGTTGACTAAGGAACATGACTGGTAGTTGTAGTTTCAACTATGGTGACCTATAAATAAACACTAAACCAGCTATGGCAAGGGTTCTTGGGTCTTAAAAACTTTTACAATACCAAAGATATCCAGCCCTCGAAGCACCCTTAAAAAGGTTCCAAGCTGAATTGAATAATAAAACGTGCGGACATTTCGTCTCTGTTAACAAAGCATCGTAAGAAAATACAGGCAATAAAACATGATCCTTTTCTAGAGCGACTAGTACGTGTGCTGACGTCATCAGCAGCGCGTCACGTCCCAAGATCTCGCGCCAAGTCTCGCGAATAAATCTAATATCCTACTGATCGCGGGCAAATTGGCTCACGACGATTGCCAATTTGCACACCGCGAGATTGGCCCAATATATGGAATAAGTTAAAACCAATTCTGTTCATGTCTATATTGCCATATATTGGAGTATTTATGTGATAGTTTTGTTTTTGTTTTCTTTTTAATTATAACAATTGTCAGCAACTGAAATTCCTTTCTGCGTCTTCCAGCGACATTTTAAAGAGCTGCGTCCTTTTCTAATCGAATAAAACTTAATATTGGGTTTTTTATAGAAAATTTCTGGAATTCTCCAATTGTTGTGTGAGCTGAAGTAATAATATTAAGGATAATAGGCGTCGATCCTGTTGCTCACATAGTCCGGGCAGTTGGCTCAGTTTTCGATACATAGGTAGGTATGCAGATTACATTATTACAGAAACATATTTTTTCATTTTCTTGCGCATCCCAATTCCAATGAGTTTTGGCTTGTTTCTTTAGTGATCGGTTGTCTGCCTGATGCCAGAAGAAAAAAGGGGGGATTGGAATAAGGAAAAACGATAGGGCGAGGGGGCTAGGGCGAGGCATAGCACAAGTCTACGGGCCTGTAAGTGCAGAAGCTCCGAGAAGCGGTGGCATACTCGTGTAGCCGTCCTGTGATTGAAGCAGGACATATATTTTATTTTTATAGATCTCCTATGTTTATGTGTATGATCTCCTATGTTCCTAGATTACCTATGTTTTTGCCAATTGCATGAATATTAAAGTAAAATGTTGACCTTTGAAACGTCTTGATTCTGCACAAATGGGCCGACTTGACCGCCTCACAGAAAACCAAATTGTGTTTGATTTGACTAGTACCTAGATATTTTTACCGAACTTCTTTTGAGGCGTTAAGTAATGTGTCTAGTACTGTAGCTTCCCAATCAAATTAGCAACGCTCAAACAATTGGTAACTGTTCTCTTTAAAAAGTATGTATGTAATTATATTAGAGACATATTAATTTACAAAAAAAAAATCCACACAAACTTTATAAATTCCTTTAACACATTTTCATTTGGCTTACAATGCCACCGGGTAAAGTGGCCGCGTTCTCAACAACAAGTAGCTTTCCTTCACCGAGAGTCACATTCCCTCCTCAGGCCTCACCGAGCGCCCTCCCTTAGCGCAAATTATATTTTACACAACCCAACACATTAGAAAATAAACTTTATCTTACAGAGAAATGGTTGATATTTGGATGTATAAAAGTTTCGTGGTAAGGCATACATTATTGGTTTGCCAGTGAACGCTTAAGTCTTCGTAATGATCGCGCTTATTTTTATAATGATACATTTTGTTAGGTGTAGGCGTCCGTAGGCGTAGGAGATTGTTTAGGGGGAATGTTGTTAGCTTACACGTGCTCCGCTGGTTATGGGTAATGAATAGAGACCGTATTATGTGCTAATTAGAGAATGTTGAACGTAATACGTAGTTATTACCTACATACCACTGTTACTTATATTAATTGGGATCTATGTGTGAGTATACAGTTGTTATATTTATTTTTTAGAGAGGAATTCTTTGATTTCTCAGTATATGGCTCAGTGGTAGGAATTTCGACTTCGTTGGGTTGAATTTCGACTTAGTGTAAATATTTGCATCCATACGATATTCATTCCTCCAATCGTCCTGTAACATACGTCCCAGAGACTAGAATTAAACTCGGTAAACCTAATGATTAAATGCACAGATCCTTCTTCCTTCCTCGGCAGATAGTTTCGACAACTTCTTTTTTCTTTTTTTTTTGGCTGCCTCGTTAGTGCAATGGTAACGTATGCGACTGCTGTGCTGAGGTTTTGGGTTCGATTCCCAGGGAGACCAAATGTTTGTATGATCTGCACATATTTGTTTCGGAGTTTTGGTATTTTATATGTATAATATGTATGTATTTACAAAAAAAGTATATAAGTATTATATCAGTCAATCTAGCTTTCATAGTACAAGCTCTGTTTAGTAAGAGACTATACATACATACATCAATCATCATCAAACAGCCTATAATAGTCCACTGCTGGACATAGGCCTCTCCTTAGAAAGGAGGTTTTGGCCTACTATACCACGCTGGCCACACGGGTTGATATAGGGTTTGTTTCAAGTTTTCCTTCTCTTTGCAGTGCTGTTGTCCTGCGTAGTTTGCTCCCTTAGTCGGCTATTACGACACCCACAGGATGAATACTGGTGGTGACATTCCGTATTCATAATCCGACACCACACGGACTGTCAAATACATACCTACATTCAAAGCTAATTTTAGCCAGTGAGGTACTTCGTTTTTAAGTACCTATAACTATATTTATTGTTTACCTTTAAGTACATAGGTACAAATAGTGAAGTTATTGTTTGCAATATGAGTTGCAATATTTGTACAATCAATAAAGTATTGTGTATTTGTACAGATTTTGTGAGATCTAATTTGAGATAGTGTGACATAGTCAAAGAGGTCGGACTTGCCGGCTACAGCCAGTTTACGTTAAAAGTATGGAGTCTTGACCTCGAATGTAAGTAATATATATAAACCATTTTTGCTTTATTGCCTTCCCTTCTTGCGTACCTTTCCCTCTATACTACCAATTTTCACTACACACACATCTCTAATTCTCAAAATGTCTGGTTGACGCCCAAAAGTCTTTGAGCACATTGTCATGTCGCCTCTGCCAAACCTTTTGTGGATACAAGAGTTATTTTCAAAATATGATAAGTATAAGAATTAATGGTTATTTAAAGCCCACATTGACATCCTACATAGTTAGGTATTTTTACAGTAAAATGTACTTATCATATGTACGTATCATAAAACACAATGCTTGATGGGGCTGGTTCGTTCCCTCGCCAGGCGCGGCTGGTCCCTTGGGTCCTCGGAGTGTATTACCACCTTAAAGTGATTACCCTCGCATTTCTCTCGCTCCATTCAATCTACAGAGAACACTGCAGCTCTTCGCAGACAAATGGATCTTGGAAAAAATGACTTACAGTTTACTAACTGATGTTCTTTGAAAAGAATATTCTTTTATCTTTCTTTGTCGTAGTATGTAGGTACTGCTGTATATATGTATATAGTTACAAAAGAACCGTGTATCTTTCACTTGATTGGGTATGTTTATATTTATTTACTTTACACATCTCTCACACGGCCGTGTATTCTTATCAAGCCTGTACTATGGTAGTCAGACTGCTGATGAACATACTTAAATATTTCTAAATACATATATATTTGACAGAAAAATTACACCCAGACAGAACAAATTTATGATCGTGGTCGTCACATAATTATGTCCTGGGTGGAAATCGTACCCACGACCTCAATTTGGCAGTTTAGTTTTTGGTTGATTTTATTGCCAATTATACACAAATGGCAAATAATAGGTACTAATAAAAAGTGTATGAAATAACTGTTACTGATAAGATAAATTACAAATGAGTTATTTGGAAGACTTTGACGTCCTAACTTCGTAACGTAAATTATCATATCAATAAAAGATTTTTTTTATGGTATAAGGGGGCAAACGAGCGGACGGGTCACCTGATAGTAAGCAAGTACCGCCGCCCATGGACACCTGCAACTCAAAAGTCACAAAGGCGTTGCTGCCCTTGGAGTCCCTCCCGCTCGAGTCAGCGATGGAGTCTGAAACTTATTGGTGATCTTCTAAATACACTAAAATTTATTGTATAAAACGGTATAATTATCCCTTAAACTCGATACAACGATCTGGTTATCTACCTAAGTTTGATGCGGTGCCGTGGCATCTAGTGACGTATTGTGACCATATATGAAATGTTGGTTTCTATTTTACACAAGGTTCTTATTTTTCATAAATAACAAATGAACTAGGTATATTAATTGTGCATACCTACTCTGACTCTGAACGTTTGTGTATTAAACTCTACCTATGTTAGGGATCAAGGTCCAATAACAAATTACACGTAACATTTGTTATTACCAATGAAAATAAAATATATGTGTGTGTTGTCCTTGTGGTGACGGATTAAGGTGTCACCACTCCTATTCATCCCGTGGGTGTCGTAAGAGCCGACTAAGGGAGAAAACTACGCAGAACAACAGCACTGCAGAGAGAAGGAAAACTTCAAACCCTATACCAACCCGTCTGGCTAGCGTGGTATAGTAGGCCAAAACCTCACTTCTAAGGAGAGGCTTATGTCCAGCAGTGGACTATTAAAGGCCATGAGGATGATGATGATGTGTGTGTGTGTGTGTGTAATGATATCGGTTAGTATTTCAGAATTAATTGCTAATTTTATCACTAGATCTACGGTTTCAACAGCTCAACCAGTTTTAGCAACTATTTACTAATTTCCATCAATCAAAGGAATGCACGTACTTACTAAATAAATTCGCGGTAGTGTGACCAATCGATGGGACACGCCCGGACAGGCGGCGCGGCCGGCCAACCGTCCGGCCGGTGCATTTAGACACGTGTCATTGTGTCAAATCACCCGTGACTACGCTATTGTTGTTACACATGTTTGGTTAACGTGCCCGCGCTGAATTGTTAGAAAGCGTTATGGATTATTGATTGCATGTATATATCTTTTTTCGTTATTTCACTCGGTTTCGTTTGTGTATAAGTTACTTTTCTATCTCTTGGAAACTGTATTTTTTGTGGATAAAATATAGTCCAGGTGTATGCAAAATTTCAAGGTGATCAGTTACACGCCTTAACCGTTAAGGTGGAGGTGAAGTTTGTAGGTATTTAAGATGCATAAACCGGAACCTAATAGCGATTATCCTTAACAATAGGTTATCGTGTTTCATTTTCGATGGCTTTTGTTTTAATCGATGTTTCGATCGAATTACTTACACAAATCGTGATTACGTGCAGTAGGCACTTAAGAATTTATGGAGAATTAGATTTCATTTTGTATATCACAAAAACTATTACACACACAAAATATGCCGAAAGAAAAATGATATTGATAAAAAACAAGCTGCAACGGTTATTTCCTTATAACATGATTATTTCCAAACGATATTGCCACTATCCAGTCGGTGTGAATTATTGCTTTCAAAACATTAATAAAATTAACACATCGACTGACCTCATAATTTAGTGACAAACACGCACCCTGCTAATGCTACTGTTCGCGATTCGATACGCAACATCACGGCCGAGCTACACGATCTAAATGCCCAACATACGTACACTGCTCGCTGAACACCGCCTAGAAATACACGTAATACACGTTACCGAGGAATGTATATCGCGCTACTGGGATACAACGCTAAACAGTCTCTCCGCTTAGATCCGTAAGGGAACCGCTCTAAATTTAATAATTCATTGTCGTATTCATTGGCGCCAAATTCAATTACCCGCCGTCCCGGGGGGCTTCGGGCGTCCTCCCCCTCCCCTGCCCAGCCCCCCACTGTCTCCTCCGGTCGGTCCCGAGGGACGCGCTCGATCTATTCTATTAACCCGCCACCGTTCGCCTGTTTACTAATTCATTTGGCAATCACATTCGGTAATTATGTGATAAATCCCCGGGCGAGTGTTGTCGTGTTGTCACACTACTTGTTAAGTGGATTTGGGCCGGCGACGATTTGCGGGGATCACTCCGGATCGCTCCGGGTCTCTTCGCGTCATGCGATTACGGGGATATTGTGGGATGTTGTGTAAATCGATTAGATAACGATTTGTTTTTTTTCTGTATCAACAGGAGTGTCGTCACTGGAGGCTGCAAAAGATTTCACAGTCGACGGATTGACCGGATACAACGGCAAGAAAAAGAAGAAAAAACGTAGACACAGGTAACTATAATATTATTTTATTGTATGTTGTTTTTATTTTATTATTATTAATACATAAGTGATACCAGCCGCCAGTATTCGGGTACTACTGGGTACTAGGACTAATGGGTATAAGTGTAGAACTACTCGTAGAACTGATATTTTTCTACGAGTAGTTATACCCTTTATTATTAGGTTATTAGTATTAGGTTTCACTAAAACTCAAGTTTTGGCTACAGGTGTAAAATCTATAAATTTGTTCACACTGTGCGAATCGACCACTAAGACGATTTTACTTCATGACTTAGGTACATTTCGAACTTTGAATGCAATCTACTTTAACCTAAATGTAAGCGACCAATTTCAGTTTATTCCTTAAGACAAAATCTTGACATTATCACGAGTAAAGCTACAGACACTAATTGGTATGTTACATTTACGAACGGTAAATATAGGTACTACGAAATACAATAAAGCAACAACCGTTTGAGCAATTGGTAGGCTTTCAGGGCCCAAGTATCGTCAATTCATCATTGACCAATATACTCGCACTGTAAAGATTCGGTTACAATAGATGCAAGGGATGAGAGCCTGCCATGTTTGCTCTGGATAAGCGCCAATATGCCAATAATGAGTTCTCATAAGTTGTTAAGTGTGAATTCAAAGTACCTACTACTCAAAGTACGACACAAATAACTTCAGTAGTGCACCGGCATTTGTGTTGATCTTTACCAGAAATAAGACTCTTAAAAAAGAAGCTTTTATTTCTGTTCTTGTACCCTGGTATTGGTTGTGGGCTTCGGTTGCCGCATTTAGACTCAAGAGTGGCCCTTTATGCGTCGAGGACTGGTTAGCTAGGTGAGCTAACCAAGCTCCTTCCAGAAGCGCAGAAGCCTCCTGGGGCGTTCACAGGCTTCTAGGAGCGATTTTGTATCGGTTCTTGCACCCTTTAAACTAAGGTTAATATTCCCTATATTCTAATTAAGCCATTTTTCTATATCTGCCTTTCGTTCCCTCCTGCAGCCGGACAATCTTCACGTCTTACCAGCTGGACGAACTAGAAAAGGCGTTCAAGGACGCGCACTACCCAGACGTGTACGCCAGAGAAATGCTGTCCCTGAAAACAGACCTGCCTGAAGATAGGATTCAGGTGAGTCCAGAACTTAACTTTGAATAACAAAGAGTTTGTAAACATTTTGTAATAAATACTTTACACTTGTGTACTAGAATGGCGTCGTCCTTTTGGTCAATCGAATATCTAAAGGAAGATTAAATAATAATTTTAGGCCGCACTAGCTACTGTTCTGTTTGATTAATTGTTATTTTGTATTAAAAATACGAAACTGAAAATTACGAATTGCCACACAACCGTTCATCACTTATTTTACCACCTTAGCCACAGGTGCAATTGAGTATATAAACGATAAATGTACTACTAAAAACCAAAATAAAAAACAACATTTAAAGCCATTGGTAGTTAGGGGTAATGGTATCAAAAGCCTTTCTTAGCATCCAGATTACAACATAAAAGCTGAAAAGTTTAAATCCCTAAAAATTATCTTTCAAAAAGTATGTTTTTTTTTTTTAAATTTTAAGTTCCTTTTTGTTTAAATTGTAATATTTAGTATTTACTCAAGTTTGTCCACTTTCCTCTTGCTTGTTGTTATTACTAGTTCTTAATTACTTTCTTAAATGAATGGCTGTTTTGTTACATCGTCTCTATAAGTTATTTTCACTTTATGAAGGCGTACGAACTAGTATAGGTCGACCCATGTAGTATGTATAATAGTAAGCAACACATCCTCCTCCGACCATAAGGCAGGACCACGAACCACGACATCTACAGGTCAGTCAAAACGTATCTAAAGGTCTGCAGTGATTCAGTTTTTTCTAAAATAATTTTAAAGTAAGTGAAATTAAAAAAAAAAACATGGCACAATTTAAAAACCGAATCTCTGTTATTCAACTGAGATCAAACAGTCCTTTCTTTGCTCAACAATGGTGTACCAAAATAATAATTTTGCTCCGGTTTAGCTGAGCCACAAAAAACGTCTATTATTCACTTATTAAGTCGTCAATTGCCATCGATTGCTGTCGCCCTGTAACACGACACCGGCGCTATGGTGAACATGCCTCCATAATGTTTTTTTCTTCCTTATTTTTTTCTATCCACGATATAAAAATATGTAGGTTTTTTTAAGGTTAATTAATGACTAAACAGTTTAAATACTTGAGATATATTGAGTCATTTAGGTACTTTTATTTAATAAAATAGGGTGGACATGTTTGCGCGGTTTTTAGAGAATTCCGCGGTTATGAAGCTTGCGGATATTTTAAAAGAAACGATCAGAGCTTCAGTTAGACACATGTCTAATGTGTACTTTTACAACGGTTAAACTAAATTTATACAGTCACATCATCACATCAACAGCCTATAATAGTCCACTGCTGGACCTCTCCTCTGAAAGGAGGTTTTGGCCTACTGTACCACGCTGGCCAGACGGGTTTTTATAGGGTTTGTTTCAAGTTTTCCTTCTCTTTGCAGTGCTGTTGTCTAACGTAGTTTTCTTCCTTAGTCGACTTTTACGACACCCACGGGATGAATAGGGGTGGTGAAGTTACGTATTCTTAATCCGTCACCACACGGATAAATTTAGTAGGTGGTAGGTGCAGAGGACATTGAATCAAAGTAGAAAGTTACTTCAATACCACCTAGGTACACTTCTTCTCTAAGACCTAGATATCGCGTCACTACCAGGCTTATGTCGGTTTCTAAATTCTGAAAGTATCTTATATATGTATATGTAAAATTTAAGCGTTATTTGATTTGTATCATCTATACATATACCTATAATTAATTGCCCTGACTGACCAACTAGTTCATCAACGCAGATCCTAAACCGCTGAGACTAAAAACTTGAAATGTTCACAGCTGATGCTTTTTATACTGTAGGCACCCACTAAGAAAGGATTTTTGGAAATTTCATCCCTATGGTGGTAAAATAAAGGAACTTCGTCATTTTCAAAGTTAGAAACACGATATAAGAAATCTCGAGAGCGACGCCGCTGAAACTAGCTGGTCAGATATAAATATATATTTTGTACAAATTTGTTGTATTTGTAATTTTTATCTTGAGAGATTTCAAGTTTTCACGAGAAATTGCTTAAAACTTTTACATTACAGATAGTTGAATACGATGCGATAGAATGAGTTTAGTGATGTCTAACAAATTTCATGTGATTACCCATATCAAATTGACTAATAAAATAACTTGATATTTGTAATAAGTGAACGGTCACACATTTTTTTGTTCTCCTTTAAATCGTATTAAAGACATCAATACTTTTAACTCACGCATAATTTCTTCTTTGTAATCCCACATTTTTTGCCGTCCCGGTGTGCATTTGTTGTGCAATAGGCACGTCACTCGGCATCGATCGTTGTTGACGTGATTTCGACACCCGATCCGAGCAATACGATATTTTGCGCAAACAATTGCTCAAGATTTCGCGGAAGGAAGTTTTTTTTTGACGTAGACTATAGATGATTGAATTGTGGATTTGGTTGTAGATGCATTTATTTAAGAAAGTTTTTACGTCTTGTTGCTTCGTTAGGGTAGAAAACTATTTCTATAGAGATAAACACAACAACATATTGCTTTTCATGATGTTGCTCTAGGGTTCAATCAAACATTATGATATATTATGTAATAGTTTTTATGTCAATTCAATCAAGTTTATTTACAAACTTAACTATTATTATATATCTTTTAGACATCACATTTTCTTTCTGCTACTATTATTATGGAAAAGAGGTTTCAGAATTAATTTTGTACAAAAATAACTCCTATACCTATAGAATAGTAGTGACGGATTAAGAATACGGAATGTCACTACCCCAATTCATACCGTGGGTGTCGTAAAAGCTGACTAAGGGAGCATAATAACGCAGGACACCAGCACTGGAAAAAGAAGGAAAATTTGACACAAACCCTATACCAACCCGTCTGGCCAGCGTGGTGTAGTAGGCCAAAACCTCCTTTCTAACGAGAGGCCTATGTTCAGCAGTGGACTATTAAAGGCTGTTGATGTGATTGATGATGATATAATTTAAAAGGATTATATTGTGTACTAAGTAATTAATAAGACAAGTACACATGAGTATATAATATAGAAATAATTTCAATCCACGTATATTGTATGTATTACAAACTATATTGGTTTTAAACCATTTTAACTTGACATGCACTTTCTTGTCGTAGTTCTTTCATCACTATAAGGTTTCACACATTACATTACGTTACGTAGTTGATCCAGTAATTGCTAGTCATAATTATTATTAATAGTTTTTCCTTTCGTCAGTAACACACAACAAGGACTCGAGTATCGCCTTCCCTACTCGGAAGCTGCGGGGAAAACACAAATATGGCCACCCCCACGAGTGGCTCTGCACCCCGCAGCCCTGCATACACCCCTTACAACCCTCACATCCGCACATTTATGAAAATTTCATTTCCAAACTCTCAAGTCGTCATAGTGAACTAAAATAAACCCTAATCTAACCGCACAGAGTTTATTGCCTCTTAATTCGGGAAAGAAGGAAAATTTAACATTTTGTTGTGAATTGAAATCTATTGCTTACAGTGTAAAGTGTGTTTCAGGTTCTAAATGTAAAGTTATGAGTGATGGTAGTTGAATTTTCGGTATAATGGCTTACTGGGGATTAGGTTTCCCCAATATTGGGGAGCGTATTTTGTGAGACGTTGCAATAAATGGATTATTATGCAATCAAACGTCTCGTAGGCAAGGATACTTTAACATTCTCATGAAATACAATGTTGTCTCCCCTATAGACTGACAATACAGATATCCACCAAATATCTTTCATACCTATCACAGTTGATGAGTATCAAAAATTAACACTAATGCCTCATAAAGATTGCATTTTTTAAAAGCTTTGATTAATTCTAAAATTAAAAGTACCTACTTGGAACCTACTTGGTACTTAACTGGAAGTACCTAAGATAGATATTTAATGTATCTCGTAAGTTAATATCCATAGTATTTTATATCGTACACAATTGTGGAATGAACTCAAAACTAACTAATAACCAATTAATGTCAACCACTCAGAGCGTCGCATCAATTGGAGAGGGCAACATCAACATCACCGAACTAAAATTTTCAATCCATTAATTATATGAAAGAGTCGTAGCTAGCGCCATCTACTGGCCACTTGCGCCAACTGCACGTAGCTATGGTAACCGAGCGCTTATTGGCTACTTCTATTATATTTCGACGAACCAAAACGATGTAACCGACACCTGAAAACACTCAAATCTGTTTCCTACGCCTCAGGAATAAGAGCTGTTTTGATTAATCGTTTAACGAGTGTTATTGTAGTCAGGTTTAGTGTTGTTATATTATTAGCTCCGCCCTTCTTAGTGGCATGGCGGACGGGTTTTGTCTTGCCTTGGTTTGTCTTTTTACGTCCGTTTTGTTTGTGTAACTCTACCTTCACACAGGTAAAAAACTCTCATGTACAACTGAAAGTAATTAATTGAAATGTAGACACATTAGACGTGGTTATATTTTAACGTAGCTACTTTATACGATTGTTGGCAATTTGTAGTCTGTACAAAAATAGTCGTCTGAATAACAGATGTCATGTAAGTAATAATAATATGAGTATTATGAAGTTACACAAAAAAAAAACCAGAAGTTAAAATCAAATTAATTATTTTTTATTTGATTAATTAGGTGTATCATATTTGAGTGAACAGATTCAATCAATAAGATAAACAGGTTAACTAAATGACAAGGGTGACCACACTGATTTTAAGCGTATCCACGATTACGTATCCGCACAGAGCGGCGCCGCGCCGGCCCGAGCGACGCCGACGGCTAGCGTTCCCGTAGATATTTATTTACCTAGGTACTGTTTTTTTTTATCTCAAAGTATTTTATTTTTATTTTAGGATAGACTTGATTACCTAATTGTTAATGCGTAAATATCTACCTATTGATTCTTCAATTATTCTTAAAGGAAAGACATGTTCAATAATGAGTTTCAAAGTATTTAAATTAACATATAATCGTACAAAGAAAAATGTAACTTTTTAGGTGAATCTTTATACCTACTAGAAATAAAATAACAAATAAAACTAGAAAACACACACTAGACTACCTGTTTTCTGTTATCTATTGGGTACTTCTATATTTCTATTACATAAATATAAAACGGCATTTATTATCCTTTTATTCTGAAATAAACATGGAAACTAATTTGCTCAATAACTAGGTACCTATTTATTCCACACCTCGAAAGTCACAGGCTGACTGTATTGTTTTATTTTAAACATTTTCTGTACCCATTTTTGCCTTTTCACGACGATAGTTAACAATAAGAATAATAATAATAACCTTACACATCTCACATACGGCGGTCTGACAAACCTGGTCTGGTCAAACATACTTATATATTTCTAAATACATACAAACTATAGATAAATTATACCCAGACACAGAACAAATGATCGTGCTCATTACATAATAAAACAATAACTAAGAAGTGACTTGTCTTCAATAGGTTTCATTATAGAATCCATATAAAGAGAAACTATATCTGAAGCGCTAGGGCTAGGATCTCTTTGGTAACTCTCTAGGGACAATTTTTGTGTAACAATTTACTGTCATCACACAATTTTTTGTGAAGAAATTACATTAATGATTAATTCTAAATAGAAGATTAGAAGAGTAGACAAATTCAATATTACAAACTATTACTATCAAACATTTGTACAACACACACAAGTTTAAATACACCTGAGCGTAATGACCCATGTACAATATATAATAGGTATACAGAGTAGAACATCGTAACTATTCCGGGGTATATCCTCGCCGTACCGGTAATAGAGCTCGCTCGGTAGCGGCGGGCGGCGATCACATTTCTCGCCAATTACGCGCCGATAGCGGATACTCGGATACCGGCGCATCTCTGCCGGCGCCGGTACACTAGCACACCTCTAATTTGTTCTACACCGGTCGTGTGTCCGACTGGGTATTCGGTTTCCGTGAAATTGATAGTACGAGTATTAGGTAAAGCTCCTTCTGTAATTAGATTTCAACTGAAACCATTACCTTAATGGTACCTATACATAAATATTGTTAAAATGATACGTCGAACATACATTCACGTATTTATTACCGGAGGGGTAAACAGAGACGTCTTAAAACGCCAACAATTTGCCGACCATGATGTTCGTCCCACTTACCTAATAGGTGTGTGGTGACGGATTAAGAATACAAAGTGTCACCACCCCTATTCATGGCAGCAAACTACACAGGACAACAGAACTGCAATAAGAAGAAAAACGTCTGGTCAACGTGGTATAGTAGGCCAAAACCTCCTTTCTAAGGAGAGGCCTATGTCTAGCACTAAAGCATTAAAGGCTATTGATGATGATAATGATTACCTAATAGGTGGCAAGACATTAAGGTTAATATTTAAAATATATTTCTAAACAAACATACTTATATATTTCTAAATAAACATACATGTTAAATACAAATTATACACAAACACGGAACAAATGATCGTGCTTATCACACAACTAGCTGGAGCCCGCTATTTCGTTCGCGTGGAATTTGAGAAGCGCTTGTTTGGTGAGTTCGATGCCAGAACCAGGCAAAATTTTGTAGGGTTTTTCTGAGAGAAAAAATAGCCTACGTTACTCCTTATATAGACAGGTACTTGGTAGTAAAATATGATCAAAATCGGTCCAGCCGTTTTGAAGATTACCCGGAACAAACAGACGCACAAAAAATATTTAAACTGGTTTCGACTGCACGACCACTATTTTAGTAGTCATGATCTTTTGCCACTGGTATGGTATCTAATGATAGACCATATAAACTATTTAAAAACTGTTATTGTCGATAAACTAAATTTGCTAAAGATTTGTTATACTACACAATTATTGAATTGAAATCTTTATTAATCAAGCACTAGCTAGTTTCCAAACGAACTTATTAAAATGTAAAGACATTAATGGTTGTAATTAGATTTTTTATAATGAAACTAGCTGAGACCCGCGGTGTTACCCGCGTTTGTTGTTATAACCGCGGGCAACGCCGCGAGGCGAAGCTAGTCTAAAAAAAGTAGCCTAAGTTACTCCTTATGTCATCAGCTATCTGCCAGTGAAAGTCCCGTCGAAATCGGTCCAGCCGTTCCAGAGATTACCCGGAACCAACAGACAGACAGACAGACAAAAATTGAAAAAAATGATATTTTGGCATATGTACCGTGTAAACATACATATTATGCATTTAGTAAAAAGCGGTTGTTTTAATATTACAAACAGACACTCCAATTTTATTTATTTGTATAGATTGAATTTCTCTCATACAAATTTTTTTTCTCTATTGCCACATCATCATCATCATGAACAGCTTTTAACAGTCCACTGCTGGACATAGGCCTCTCCTTAGAAAGGAGGTTTAGCCTACTATACCACGCTGGCCAGACGGGTTGGTATAGGGTTTATGTCAAGTTTTCCTTTTCTCTGCAGTGCTGTTGTTCTGCGTAGTTTCCTCCACTAGTCGGCTCTTACGACACTCACGGGATGAATAGGGGTGGTGACACTCTGTATTCTTAATCCGTCACCACGCGTCTATAGCCACAGTCTGGTTAAATTTCAAAGGTCGCGGGTTCGATTCCCGCTCAAGTCAAACATTTGTGTGTATGAACTTTTAATGTTTGATTTGGTCTGGGTGTTTCTATGTATAATAAGTATGTATTTACAAAACAAAAAAAGAATATATGTATTTATATCAGTTGTCTAGTAGCCATAGTACAAGCTTTGCTTAGTTTGGGACTAGGTAGATGACGTTATGTGAATGTGGTAGAATATTATTATACAAAAACCAACTTAATAACAAAACAGTTTCTATATCAAAATTCAACTAACGTGTCAACCTACTTTACATAAACCACTGTATTTAGTAAATAGTGTTGAGAGTAATCCTATCGGAGTAGCAGCTCAAAGCGCGTTCTCAGCGCCGCGCCAGTGGCACCAGTATCGGCTTCTCGACTGGAGGCTGATCGCATTTCGCGCCAATTACGCCCCTTCAGCCTCACAGCCAGAGCAAAGCGGTGAAATGTAGATCTTCCGTCAATATCTGCGGAGCTATGCCACTGCGGATTTAGAATAGACCTACCTACAGAATAATCTCAGGTAACAGTATCGAATTGTTAGTGTTATTGTCTGATAAACTCGAAGAAAAGTTATTGGTATGATAAGATAATAAGTGGGATATTGTAGGAAAATTGGTAGAATAGAATAATCGCGTTTATTAGGTATTAATATCTATGAATCGACATATCAAAGTGGTGGATCTGAGTGAGCCGGTGACCAGGGTGTTGATCGCGTTAAATCCTCAATAAATAATTAAACATAGGGTAGCCTGTCTCTTCGCTTCCTGGGAAACATTAGTCGATATAATCTACACTTACTAGAAAGTACTAAATAAATGGTCATAAGCGACTTCAACGAGCAGCAAAGAGTACTATTTTAATTCCTTTAATAAATATATAGTTTTTCCGTGTGGTGACGGATTGAGAATACGGAGTGTCACCACCCCTATTCATCCCGTGGGTGTCGTAAGAACCGACTAAGGGAACTAACTAACAGGACAACAGCACTGCAAAGAGAAAGAAAACTTGAAACAAACCCGTATAACAACCCGTCTCCATATAACCCCGTATAACCCGCCAGCGTGGTATAGTAGGCCAAAACCTCTTTTGTAAAGAGTGGCCTATGTCCACCAGTGGACTGTTGAAGGCTGTTGATGATGATAGTTTTTTTATTGTTTGTGATTTGGTTCGTAAGTTATTTGCGTCATTAGTGGAAAACTCTTTGGATATGTGGGTGCAGAGCTACAAAAAATAAACCCAATATACCCATTTATTAGACACTGCGTTTCTCACTTAAGTTAAAAGTTAAGTCACAAAAACAGCATTCGTATAACATCGGCACAAATTTTGTCACTGTGTACCTAACTCACCGGAGTGTCCCAAACACACTATAAAGTAAATCGTAAGCTTATAATTTGACAAAATTCTTAAACATTTCTATAAGTAACAACTCTACAATACAATAATAGGCTGAGGAGGCAGGCTCAGCCTCCGCCCGTCCCTTCCGTTCCTGGTCCTTCGTGAGCAAATTTAGCAATTAGCGTGCGTGCGGATTCCGGACACCGACCCACTGGCCCGCCGTCCGGTCCGACCGTCCGGTAATAGCCACCTAGCCTCGTCCTACGATTATCCAGTGCGCCTTATTTGCCGATTTGCGCATTCGTCTCGCCTTTGTGCGGTTATTAGAGCTGGTGGCAAATTGATCGGAAGATTCGCCTTTTTTGTTGTCGAAGACGGTGGATGTTTTCTTTCTATTTATTATGTGGCTGAGTGCTCTATTTCGTATAAAAAGTCCCAATTAGATCATGTTACTTGGATGGGTAACTTGCAGGCCGTGCGAGCATTACCTGAAAATGTGTTTACTTTTAAAACAAATTATTAAGTAATTAATTCAATAGTGTGGTGTGTGTGATCTAGATATCTGTTAACAAAATTAAACTAAATATATGTTTTGCGATCATTGCATACAAACTCTTTTAAATAAATTTAATTTGTATAATATATTTATGTAATTTGTACTGAACTTTAATAACAGTTACAATTTTTTTGTAAAATAGATGTTTAACCATGAAAAGAAAAACTGGAAATTGCTACTAAAGATGTTAAAAATATCTTTAAAGAATTTTATTTATACGTTTATTATATTTTTAGTCCGAGAGAAGACATGTAATAAAAAATGAATTAGTGAAGTTACTGGAAAGACCATAGAGAGAGAGAGGGAGATTTTGTAAGCTTCAAACAAGTAATTTATTACTTGTTTTTTTTACTTTTAAGGCGATCTTAACATTTATTACCATTTTCACTTGGTGCCTGCACAATTTGTCATAATTTCAATTCCATAAATATCCTTTAATAGCTTTGTATTACAGTAAAATGTAAATAAAGTATGGAATTTTATAAAAAAATTAATCTTGTGTGCAAGAAGACTTATTATGCTAAAATTATATGTATTATGATGCCAAAAATACTGCTACCACCTAATTTGGTATTAGATATGTCTCCTTTTTAGCATTTTAAATTTATGGGACTATGCTATTATTACTAATTTAATATAGGTTTGATGTGTCCCTAATGGCTTTTCGAACACAAGTGAAAACAAGTGTCCAGCACCTATGCTGGACCCACTCCCATGCAGAGCAAGGACCTGCCCGTCCGTGTCCGGCTGCCAATGTCTTTGACCAACCATGTCAAAGGAAACCAGCTATACATACATAAAAACAAAAAAAAAATGGCTTTTCGAATCACAGGAAAAAGGACAGACAAACAGGTTTTTTTTTTAGCTTTGTTTTTTTTAGCTTACTTATGATCCTTATATTTTGTGGCCGTGGTGCTTCCCTTTTAAAAGGGTGTATGCCTATTTTCCTTCATTTTGTATCCCGCTTTGCTAAGGAGGGAAGTGGATTTATTGTATTTTCAACTCCTACAATTTTCTTCTGATTAATTTCGTTGCCGGTTCCAAGACAGTTTAATTTTTTTTCTGGGACTTCCCAAGTGTCATAACTCGGTGTGTTTGTGGGTCACTGCTGGTGATCTTGGTGTACAGGCGTTACAGTGGTTTGCGTATAGGAAGGATTAGTCCCATAAAAACAGGTTTTTTTATGGTACAGAAGGGCAAACGAGCACACGGGTTGCCTGATGGCAAGTAAGTAACCGCCACCTATGAATACTTGGAACTCATGAGTCACAAACACATTGCCCGTTTGTGTCCTCCCCCTAGAATCAGGAGGAGTTGAGTCTCATGTAACCTCCCTTAAAACAATAAAAAAATGCTTAACACTGGTTTTCTGAGTGGTCTTTAAAAGCTCTCCCGGTACGAGTTCTTC